GACTTTATTAGACATCCTCATCTGCTCACACCATTATGGTGATCATTGCAAATAAGAAAGACAAACATACAAGCAAGCATAAATGAAAGGGTAATCTAATGTACCAAAAAGAACATTCATATAATATGCATATAGATAATAACACAGATAACATTCAAGTAAACAAGATCCTAAGACAACCAATCAATCATTCATGCTTTACTTGAGATACATGCATTGATATAAGACTCTAGCGAGTTATGCACTTATGGTGACTTCTACTGCTCTGTAGAGCCATTGCTAATGGGTTTTACCCTCCCACATACAAGGTTAGTCTATTAACGCCTTAGGCCAAGGTAAAGATCCTAGACTAGGACCTCCTACTCCTCCCACCACATACCTCATCCTTCTCTACTTGAGATTGGCTGGTTATTAGAGTATCAAGATAACTCAAACGAAATACATACATCAATACATACATTATTGAAACAATTACAGGATCGTTTAGTAAAGAGAAGAAAGAATAATATAAGAAATTTTACACTTGTTCGCTCCAACTGAGCTACGTCCAATGTCCTTTAGAGAGGGTTCCACTGTAATCTTCACACAATTAAAAATGAGTATTAGCACCACTCTTGGTACTTAGCTAACTCGCCATGATTTCCTTTGCATATTTGCACCACTCTTGGTACTCAGCACCCTACCGATATTTCCTTGAGTATTTGAACCACTGCTGGTACTAGACTATCGCGCCTAGATTTCTCAACTCAAAAGAGTTCAGTTGTAAGTATTTTAATTCTCTTCATAATTGCAATCAACAATTGCTTACAAGAAGTTTAGACTAAATCTCTCTACGAGAGAATTTGATTACAATATAATGCAGTCTAAATTCTCTCTATAATCTTACAGATGTGAGAGATTTGATGCTTAATCTCGAGAGTATCTCTTTCTCTTTTCTCTTCTCTTCTCTTCTCTTTTCTTCAGCTCATATGTATTCTTTTGTTTGAGTTTGTTCTCTCTTCTTCTCTTTTGGATGGATATATCGTTATAAGCTTTGTGCACTTTGGCTATCTTCTATTCTATCCTCTTGATTTTCTTCTTGAGAGATCTTTTATTTATAGGCTTCATGAATATTTTTCCATTAGACTGCGTTTGTAGTTCGTAGCTTTGATACTTGTGTTTTCTCTTTCTTCTTTTTCTTAGCAGTAGTTGTGTAAGTTAACTTTGTTAAAGCAGACATGTTTTTTCAATCTTTTGCTTGAAGTACGTTGTACGATCTTTTTAGACTTTGCTTCAAGTAAGGAACATTCCGTTAATATCTCTTTTGTCTCTAACGTCCATATTTGATATTTGATTTGTAGCACTATGGATACATGTAGAATAGCTTATCTGCAAAATTAGAGTAAATTGTGTGTGCAGCAGATGAGACTTTTTTTATCACTTTTGTTGGTTTTGAATGTTGAGCATTTAATGTCATTTAATGTTTGCTCAAAACAACAAAGTGTTTTTTGATTTCTTACCGTTAGGTAGCATTTAACATTTAAGCTCTTTTAGTTTGAAGATACTAAACGTATAGATACTTTCTCACAAGATGACGTGTCTATTTCGCTCATGTTATCATCTTAATCCAAGTGAATTTTTTTTTTGGCTTTTGTCTCTTTGTAGACAGATAGCATTTAGCTTGCTTAAGCTTTCTGATGTGTTTTAGCAATTATGTCTTTTAATTGTTTTAGTCGAAGACATTATCTCGACCTGTTGTTGTTTTCGAGAGAAGTCAAATACCTACTTCAAGTATTTTAAACATTGAGTGTTTGGCTCAGTTCTCTCTCGGACGTTTTTAAACAAAACATCGTCTAGTCATGCGTCTAGTTCTCCTAGCCTAATATTTTTATATTTCTTTGGACCCAAGTGTTTTTCTCTGATTTCTATGTTTGGGATTCAGGTTCCAGTTTTTGTTTGTTTGGGGTTTTGAGTTTATGTCTTTACCCTAGGTTGCTTTCTCATCATTAATCTATTTTAATGTTATTTGGTTAAATTTCAAAATAGAGATCGATTGTTCGTATAAACGATTTTGACTTTAACAATAGAGTTATAGAGAAAAACTTTTTAGAAAAATAACGTGTTTTAAATAATAAAATTCATTTATAGAAATTTTATTTATACGTTAAATTTTTAATATTTAAAAATAACTGAGTCTCTCACTAGAAATGATTTTCTAAGCTTACATTTTTCAAATTTAAGATACAGTGATTATTTTTCTTGATTTAAAGACAAACACTGTATTATAATTTCCATAAAATTGGTTCCTAGACATTTCATCTAGCTATGTAAATGTAGTAGAGTTACAAGTAATAAAAAATAAAAGATGTGATTGGAATAACAATTTTTCTTTAGCAAATTCAAGGAAAGAAATTTTACAATAAATATTTTATTTTTTACCATTATCTCTCTCAAGCACATTACTAAATTTATTTAACTCAATTTTCTCTGCATTGTGAGAATTGTAAAAGCATAAGTAGGAGTAGAGTAGTCCTTCTCAGATTGTGCCTTATCTCGTATTCAAAAGTAAAAGGCGTTACACATTGATATAGTGGTGGATCTGATTAGGATAAGCACTTCCTAAATTTTATTTGGAAAATTCTAGCATCTAAATGCATGTTTGGCCCACCAAAATCTTAAATGATTAAATATGTTTTTTCTTGTTAAATTATAAAAAAAATTATTTTATCCCTATACTAAATTATTTCCATGCTATGATTCTTATAATTGCTTATTCGTTGATACTGTCATCAATACCTTATTTTCAACATACTATTCTGTGATGAATTTGATGCGAGAGACACTAAATAAAAGACAAAGCCAAGTTATTTATTGTCACTAACAAAAAAATTCATCTCACAAATGTGTATTTAGAAAAGGATGTCAAAATGCAGTTTAGCAAAATCCCTCTAAAAAAATACAGCTAAAATACTTTTAGTAGAAAAATAAAAATTATAGCATTATGTGTCCTACAAAATTTACAACATGAAATATATATATATAATGATTAGTATATGAGAAGAGTTTAATATGAGTTAATTTTTATATCAATTTGACACTTATTTTGATTTGATTTTGTTAAATATTTGTAGAAATTATCCTAATTTTATTTTTTTTACAGATTTTGATGAATACAGGGAGTCATAGAAGAAAATTGAAGAAAATAGAAGAATTCTAAACAAATTCTTTATATTTATTATGAGGAGCTAAATATCTTAAGTGTTGAAATGAGATGTAAACATTTGGAACTATCGTATTTGGTATTATTTTATTTATAAATGGTTACTTTTAATTAGATATTTATGAATTAATTTATGTTTATTGTTGGATGAACTGATCACTCGTCTTATTTTATTTGCTTGAGATTGAATGAAAATTGATTCCAAGTTGTGGTCCAATCAATTCTCCTATGGCTTTAAGATGCTAAGAACAAATATAAGCCTATAGTTTGCTATATAGTTTTGACCTTAATACAAGTGATCTTTTCAAGCTGTCACTAAGAAATCATATTAAAGTTTAGTTATCTTAAACTTTAGGTGTCAAGAATGAACCTAAAGTTATATTGATGGAAGAGGCTCCAAGGAGAGGCTGATTGAAGTTGCGCGAACACGAACCAGACCTCCTCGAAGCTTCTCCGACAAAGAAAGATGCATCGGAATGTGACGATCTTGAGAGAGAATGAGAAACAGAGAGCGAACAAACCAAATCTATGAACAAATTCAAGAAAACCCTAAGATCTATGGTTTGTTCGGTGGAAACACCCTGATCACGAAGAGAGATTACGAAATTGAAGAATAAACCCTAGAATGGAGAAGGAACTCATTTTTGGGCTGATTAATCGGATGAAACATGAGTTTAATTGGTGAGAATGGTTTTAATCAATTCAAAATAGGTTTTAATAGGCTAAAATGGAGAAAATGGTGCAAAGAAGGGGAAACCTAAATGGAAGATGAAGATGTTCGGTCAAATGGAAGAAGAGTGAATGAGGATGATAAATCTGTGAAGAAATGAAATGCTTACCGTGATGAAACGGATGGCTCGTGAGGATGAGCACTCGAGAGAGAGAGAAATGCTCTCGAGGAAGACGCGAGAATGAAATGAAGCGCTGATGGAGTATGCTGACGATGCTTCAAGAGAGAATTTGTGGCTATAGGAGCTCTAACACGTGCCTGAAGTGGATTGGAGGAATGGTGATTCTACGTGGATGATGAGAGAGAAGCACAAATGGAAATGGAGAAATGAAAGAATAGGGGGTGTGCTTGGAAGGTGGCTAGAGGAAGTCTTTGGACTCTCTAGCCTGACTTTCAAGAGAGAATAGTTTCTGATTCAGAAAATTCAATTCTCATTATTCTCAAAAGTCTCAAATACAAGAGAGGAGTTGTATATTTATAGTATTCCATGCTCCTTGTAAGCTGATATACGTATACAATAAATTGTAAAAATACAGAAAGAGAACACTGTGGAAAGTACATCAAGTTGAATTCCATCATATATTCAAAGTGAACTCCCACGACATGATTTTTTGCAACTCCATATTTAATAACATAACTATTAGAAGAGAGAGACAAAGTAATGAAGTCCAACTTCAACATGTTTTCATCAGCTGGAAGCCAATCATTTTCAAATCTAGACTCTTCTACAACATATTTTGCTTTGTTTTAATAGATCAACTCTGATTTACAATCTATGCCATCCATTTATGATTTTATTCACTATCAAACTAATTAGAACATTGTGTTTTCTATTAAATTCACGTAAATGCAACACTTGTTATACTACACACTATCCAGTATACTTCTGATATATTTGGTTGATGCGTGGGTGAACCAACTGTATAAACTCATAAATGTTGAAAATTTGGCATCAAAACAAAAAAGCAATTCGCGCAAATTCTAATTGCTGAAACATTGATCTTGAAAATTTTACCAGGAAAAGAAGAATTTGGATTTTCTACTGTATTTATTATACAAAGTTTCTGTTGTGCCTTTAAAACATACTGATGTACCCTTATTTTAATGTTTTAAAATATATTAAAAACTTTTTAATATATCAATAGTGTACTTTTAAAACCTAGCAGAAAAACACTAATAAAACAAGCAGAGAATGTGAACTGAGAAAAGAATGGGTCAACAATATGAATCATTGCCATTGACTATTGAGGTTTCTTTTTGTTGCGGTTTTCCTCGGTAATTGTTTGAAATTCTTTCTCACTGGCAGCAATTAGGCGTTTGACAATGTCATATGTAGTAAGCCTGATGCTGCAGACATAAACATGGACTGGATCAGGTCTTTAATCATAACAATGTGCTTGATATGTCACAAGAATGGAACAAAGATTCAGCAGAAGGAATTTCATGAGGCGCATTGTGAAGATTGAAAACTTATTAGAAATAGAAGATCACAAGTACCTGCTATTTGGTAGGTTTTTCAAAGCATTTGGCACAAATCCCCGATACAAGCCAATAACTCCATCCCTTTCCACAATACCTGCATCAATGAAGTAATGACTTTAATAACAGTATAAAACTACTAAAGCATTAAAACTGCAAAAATCCCCATCATTTAAATAAATTCTCGTAAATCAAACCACCATCTAATTTGTATTTTTTATCTTTCTTCTTTCCCACACCATTGACCAGCCATCTATCACAGAAAGAATTTTCTGTATAGACACATATATACAGGGTGGCAAATGCATCTGTTAGTGCCATGGCTAAATGAGCAATGTCTTGTGAAACTAATTCTGGGATTAGGATTATGGATGTCTCAACTTCTGCTGTTTAGTAGATAAGTTTTCTTGTATGGCCTTGGAGCCATGGTTGATAAAAAAAGAGAGATAAATAGTCGATTCAGTAAGACAAGTATTGTTATATTTCATTTTAGTATAATAAGAGAACAAATTACAATTTTAGTACAAAAACATGAGTTCTATTAATTTTGTTTGAACTCCTCTAATGACTAAGGTAATTGAACATGTGTTTGATGTTTAGTAATTATAACAAATGTTTATTGAAGAAAAAATTAACGTGAATATCCAATTAATGTTGAAGAAAACATTTGTTTTTATTTTCTAAATTTAAAATCCTTCATAGTTTCTTTAATATTGATTGCATATTAATGTTAATTTTCCCTTTAATAAACACAGTGACAATTATTAAAGACCAAACACATGTTCAATTCCCTAAACCATTAACGGAGTTCAACCAAAATTAAGGAAATTAATTCTTTTGTACTAAGACTGTAATTTTTTGTTTTATTGTGCTAAATATTTTCAGCAACCTATGTTGGTAGAATGAATTTGCCTAACTAAAGATGGCATGTAATCCACGCATGAGGTAATGATAATACTGAAGAAGATTTATGTTATGCATAACAATGGTGATTATTTGGATGCTGATAAGAAAAACTCATAAATATGGTTATTATAGTTATATATTTGTCATGTGAGTGAGTATAGCATGCTGATGCTAAAAGGTAAATCGAGAAGTCCTAACCTGAAATGGCATCTAATACAGTCTTATAAGGAGTACCCTTCAATTGCATTTGTCTTCGCACTGTGTCCAAAGGATAGCATGTGAGTGTGGCAAGAGATGATGAAATAACAGCAGTGAGTAAAGAAGTTTCAGTTCTCCTCTGATATTTCTCTGGCAATGACTTCTTTAATCTATTGTCCATAGAAGGTCACAATAATTTAATGTTAATGTCTTTCCAATATCCAATGTTCTTAAAAGACAAAAAGATCACTAATGAACTCACAAATCAAAAACACAGAAATTCACTGCAATATATGGAGCAATTCCAATGAGAGAAGGCCCAAGACCATAGTAAAAAGATGCAAATCCTTCCTCTCTTAGCATGCTCAAGGCAACCTAGAAAAAACACAATATGCTTCATTTACAGAGGAACATCTTGTGAAAATATTTCACAGACAAGTGTATATACCTCTGACATTGTTCGATAACCAGGTTCAACAGCTAATCGTAATCTTAGGACATCTAACGGGTAAGTGATCTACATATAAATATACGACGTTAGATACATACATTGAAAATTAAAAAGTTGTTCATAAGTGTTTAACAAGGTTTAATCCCTTGCATGAAACAAAATAACATTACAAAAGCAGTTGCATATCATACAAGGTCGGGCATCATAATGAATTACTCACAAAAGTTGATGTCATGCCAGCAAAAGCACCTGCTGCAAGTCTTCCCACCACAGAGAGCTCACCATCCTTTCCCTTGAATATTTTCTATGAATCAACAAGGTATAACTTAGACATCAACATGAAATAATGGGTTTATAAGAAATTCATGAAAGATAATTAACAGTTAACCTTGTAAATTTCATAAGCAAAAAGCTGGACAGCACTGTAAGGTATAACTCGAATCACCTGGAACATTAGAAGTAGAGACACTAAAACAAATGAAAAGACTAGCTAACAGAATAAGAAGATATACATACAAAAATACTAATTACCGATAAATTGGTTCCTAATTATAAAGACCTGGGGGAGATTGCCCTTCCAATAACCTCTAATGCCTTCTTCCTTCCCTATTACAGTCATAGCCTGTAAATCATGACAATGTAAGCCCCAACAAAAATTTCACTGATATTATTTCAAATCATTCACGAGAGAGTGCAATGCATCTAATAAGTACAACACCGTGATTATCAGGGAAAGACCACTAAAATATGCATTTCGTAAGAGACATATATTTTGAATCAGAAAAGGTGATTAATCGTAGGGATTCAACAAAGCTATACAATGACCGCAACTGCATAACACAATCCTCAGCCTTATAACCAAGCTTGGGACCAGCTCATGCAAAGATTAGCAACTGAGCATTACACAGGAAGGTAATTAATTAGAAACTTAAGAAGTCCTTCTATCAATAAGTTGGAAGCCATCACACAGACACAATTTGAACATTTCCTTTATAATAAAACAGCTACGTTTGAAAATTATAGAGTTTCAATGGAAAAGGAGAGAAGAAGACATTGAACAATTTGAAATCTGCGAACTGTTCATATTTAACTGAGCTCAAGTAGTTTTGTAGTATCATAACCACAAGCCTATTCAATAAGATTTTTAAAACAATATAAGAATCCTAAAATATTCCAATATCTACAATCATCATGCTTTCAAGAGGAAACAACCTAAACAAACACCACAAATTACCAACCATTTAACCAAAACAAACAAATAGATCTCATTAAGCATTTACAAAAGCACCAATTATAAAATCACACTGTCACACTTTTCAAATATGGACTTCCACTAGTTGATAACAACACAAAATATTTTATCAACAGTGGCCAAAGAATAAGCCAGCTACTCCACGTTTTGTTGCTCTCAGAATAATTTTTTCACAACTTTGCTTCCCGTTTTCAAATTTGCTTTAGAAAATCTTTTTATGGTTGAATTTCTACTAATAAAATAATCCCCGAAGGAGACATGACCCCATTCTCCAAAGTTGACATGATACCGAAACTCATTAACAAGAGAAGCACTAATATAAAATTAGAACAAGGATTCATGGTGAACCAAACATGTAATTTTAAATTATATCACAAATTCATGCGCCTCATAAAATTCAACAAATAGTGACATAAATTAATATTAGTATGTGTTTGTATATATAAGTGCATGTGTGTGTATATATGTGTGTGTCTGTGTGTACGTATATATATGTTTGTGTAAACAGAACCAAACATGGAAAAAGAAGTTCCGATTACTCAATACCTCAATGAAACCAATCGCTCTCTTGACACTTTCTTGTCCAACTCGCACGCCGTGAGTCTGCAAAATGCGCAGTGTTGAATTGACCGAACTTTCAGACACTAACTTATCCGCGAAAACGGCGATAGAAGAAAAAAATGAAACGAGTGCGGACCTGCATGAGAAGCTTGATGCGGTCGAGCGGGGCGGTGACCGATTTCGCGGCGGCGCCGGCGAGAGCGCCAGCGAGGAACAGAGCGGCGTCTCTAGGCACCAATGCCCCCACCGCGAGCGGGTGCTGCAGCAGCTGAGCCACAGTCGGCGAGAATTCCCTGTCGAATTTCCTTTCTGCCACTGACACGCTCGCGAAATTACAGCGTGTGCCACTGCCGGGTGCGAGGCGGAGAACGGCGACGCCATCTCGGAGCGGAGTAACGACGTCGTTGCGGGAGGATTTGAGGTCCGGGATTTTGTGCCACGTCAGCGTGGCTCTCTCCTCCGATTCTACCATGTCGGGAATTTGAAACGTTGTCTAGTGTCGGGAATGAGAGATGCAAAGGAGGATATACTAGTTTGGTGCGAAGAGAGAGAAAAGTTGGAGCCAATTTAAAGTACGAATGAATGAAAGAAGAAAGATAGAAGCAAACTCGTTTTCTACGTTGGTTTCCATTTCCGTGTTTTTTAATTATACTAATTTTTATTTTCTTTTAAGACATTATACTATTTTTTTCGTACTTTATTTGTATTGTTATTGAGAATGGAATTATACAGAAAACGAGATGCACTGTTTTTGTTTGGATTAAGGAAAGTAGGATTGATATTCAAATTGAAAGATGATTTATGGATATTAAAAAGGAGTATCGACACTTAATATACACTTAGAAATAGAGTAAAAATTATAAATTTATAAGTTATATGATGTGACGAGAGAAGTAAAAAAGAATATATATATATATATATATATATATATAATAAGTGTAAATAAAATGATACTGTATATCTATTATTGCTCAATCAAATTAGACAAGAGATGAAAGTTTGTTTTGGATTTAATTTAGGGTGATTGAAGAAAAAACTAATTTAGTATAAAATATAAATTAAAATTAAAAAAATAATTAATTATAAAGTAAATGTTTTATAAAATTGAAAATAATAATGCTAAAAGTTTATAATTAATATATTTAGATTTAATTGTAAGTTATGTAAAAAAAACTTACCTACAAAAATAAAAAAGTAAATTAATAAAAAATTTCAAATTAAAAAATCCGAGTGAGGATTAAATTAGAAAGAAAATTTAATAGATACAATTATAACTAGTTTGATTTTTTATCTCACAACACTTAATTTTATTCGTTACCTTATATTCATAAAGTTTTATTTCTATTTTCTAAAATTAGGAAAAATTATGAGGGATAACTAAAAGGTTTAATCATTCGCAAGGTCCCCTTTGGGGTGAAAATCTCAAATAGGTCCCTTAGTTTTCTCTCGTCTCAATTAGATCATTATTTTTGTAAAATTGTTTCAATTAGACCCTTGCTATTAAACTGGGCCAATAATGTTAGTGTTACATTCATGTGACATGCTAATGTTGGTGTTTTAAATGACGTAGCTCACATATTGTGTTAGTTATGTGGATTTAAGTTGTTTTGAAATAAAAAAAAGTTAAGAAAAGTTCGTACAATGAATAATTTATGAATCCCTAATTGCTTCAATCCTTAATAAAAGAGGAATGTAGATGTTTTTCGTTGTGCTTGTTCAAAGGTGTTCGCTGTTCTTGAATCCCTAATAAAATGGTATTTGATATTGGTTGTTAGGTTGTTCGTTTGTTGAAAAAGTGTTGATCTTCATTGATATAGTTATTTGATGTTCTTGGTGGATGTTGGTTGATGTAGTTTTCCGTTCCTTTTTAGCGTTGTGGTTGAAGTAATACAAGTTTGAAGATGTCCATTCATGTTCGTCTTCCACATGTAATGGGTGACGGAAGCAAAATGCTAATCTCGTTTGTGGTGGTGGCAGAGGATCTAGGATTGATGGTGTATCACTCATTTGCCTTTGTGGAGAGAAATATGGTTTAAGAACTGCTAGAACTCCTAAGAACAGAGGGAAGCAATTTTGGAGCTTCCCTAAGTACAAGGTAAAAGAACATGGATGTTAAGGTATTTGTGTTATTGTTTTTTAAAGGCTTAAATACTTACTTAGTCCCCGTGTTAATAGCTGAATTTCTGTTTAATACCCGGTTTTAAAAATGAAGACATTAGGTCCCTATGTTATGAAAAGTGTATGACTTTAGTCCTGTCCGTTAAGTTGGTAGTAACGGTGTTAACTCCGCGCTGACGTGGCTACGCTTCTTTTCTCTCTCCTCTGCTCTTCCTGACACCTTCTGATTTGGACATTGGTTCTTTTGTTTTGTTGTGAAGCAAAAGGCAGAGTGTGTTCTGCATTATTTCTAGTATAAATATTATTATTATATATATATCTATTATTTCTAATTTTATTATATTTTTATAAAATTAAATTAAAGTTATTATTACAATTTATTTTATTACTTGATTACTTTTTTTCTAGTATAAATATTAACTATATTTGCCGTTTTTTATTGTATTTCTTGTTTAAATTATTAATTATTAATTAAAATTATTATTATTAGTATACTTAATATTTAGTAATATATAAATCAATTTTAATCTATAACAGTAATTACTTTGAATTAAATTTTATTTGAATGGAATTATTATTAAATACATACCTATGATTTTCAATTTTATTATATTCTTTTTAAGAGTATCTATTATTAAACACATATCTATTATTTCCAATTCACGTAATTTTATGAAATATTATTATTAAATGATTTAAAGTATATTATTTATAGATAAATTATTACTATATTTATTATTATTATAGTATACCTATAAAAATACCACAATGTGTTAATATTGTTTTTCTTTTAATTAATTTTGATAGTTTTGTTTATTATATATGTTTGAAGTTTGAACATTTGATGTTTAAAATTGTTCAAGATTCTCCAAAACCTAATGCTACGTGTCATCTTTAGATATTGTCAAATGTCAATATAGCATCCAACCACTTATTAATATTTTAAGTATGTTAAAATTTATTTTTTAAATAATTTAGGTATTTTTATTGTTGTGTTTGTTTTAAATTTAAAAAATTACTTTTTTAGATAGTTTGAAGTGTATTATTTATAGATAAATAAATAAATAGATAGGTAGAATCATCGGCATTAATTATTTTTCTTAAAATTAATAAAGATTATTATAAAAATAATCAAATTGAATTATTTTTAAAACTTAAAGAATTAATGTCGAAGAAAATAAAAGATTAAACTAAACGAAATCCTGGCTTTCGTTTGGAATGGAAGGATCGAAATAAAAACAGCAACATATATTAAACATCAAAACAATATTAAGTCATTCCATTTTACTTTATTAAAATAAAATAATATGGCAGAAAATACGAATATAATAATGCAGAACACACTCTGCCTTTTGCTTCACAACAAAATAAAAGAACCAATGTCCAAATCAGAAGGTATCAGGAAGAGCAGAGGAGAGAGAAAAGAAGCGTAGCCACGTCAGCGCGGAATTAACACCGTTACTACCAACTTAACGGACAGGACTAAAGTCATACACTTTTCATAACATAGGGACCTAATGTCTTCATTTTTAAAACCGGGTATTAAACAGAAATTCAGCTATTAACACGGGTACTAAGTAAGTATTTAAGCCTTTTTTAAAATAGACCATTGTTGGATGTAATTAGTGTTTTTTTGTTATAGAATGGTAATGAAGATGGTGGTTGTTATTACTTCAGATGTTGCATTGATGATGAGATTAAGGAAAGAGATACAAATGTGAAGTGCGAAGGAGAGACTGACTCTTTCGTGAACAGAGAAGAAATGTAAGGTGGATGGAAGATTATAAGTGATTTGGAAAAATCAGTTAAGATTTTGCAAAATTAGATTAAGTTATTGATTATGTTCTTTGTTTGATGAACATAATTGTAGTTTCAATATGGATGACAAATCCATTATGTATTGTAGTAGTGTTTTTCATTGTACTTAGGATGCAATGAATGTATGTTAAACTGTGTTTTAGTACGCATGAAGCTTAGTGTTG